TAGTCTTGGGGCTCCAGTTCTTGCATGAGAAGAAAATTGTTTATAGGTAATGCAGCAGAGACTCAATTAAGTTTGGCAACTTGGAAGTTGGTTTCTCCTGTAGCTGTGTCTGGAGCTCACTGTTTTGCTGGGGTTTCTAATCTTTCTGTCTGTCTTTATTTCCTCCACTGCCTGTTGCTATCAGCATGTTCATCGTGCTCACAGTAAAGAAAGTCACCTAGAAGCAGTTCATCTGGCATGTTGCAGGTGATTAATCCTCTGTGACATGTCAATACATTCTGGGGGGCACCTGTAAGTTACTGCTTTCCTTTTTTCTTGGTAGTCAAGTAATTTGTCACGCTGTTGTGGGAGCCCTTTTCCAGATGACTTAGCCCCACTCAGCTCAAAGCTGCTTTGTGAGCCTTTTGTTTAGAGGAAAATACCAATAAATTAAGAGGAATCTTCCAAATAATACATGGTTTAAACCAAATGTAGACTTTACTCAGTTTAGTTTTTATTCTGTTTATTAACACTACCTTCTGCCTCTTGCAAAAAAATATGTTGGATGGCATTCCTGAGACTTCAGCCACTGTTTTCTTAAATCTCCTTTGCCTGCAGGGACCTGAAACTGGATAATCTCCTTTTAGATGCTGAAGGATTTGTGAAGATTGCAGATTTTGGATTGTGTAAGGAAGGTGAGGGACTGCAGAAGCTGAAATGGAGCCATGAGGATTAGTTTAGGATCTGGGCTGTAGTAAGTGGAAGTGTGTAACTTGTATTAATTCCCATTTTAAAAATTAAAAGAAAAACAAAAAAACCCAACAAACCAAACAACAAACCCCCTCACCTATCTGGCCATGATGAACTTGGGAAGAGTGCTTTGTCCTTTAATCTTCAGGAAACCTGTGAAGGCTTTTAAAATGTGCTTGTTTGTTCAAAGGAGCCAGAATAGAGGATACTATAAAATGTGTACATGAGTAAATGAGCAGTGGAATCTGCAGGAGGTTTTCTTGGTTTTGCTGTTTATTTAAGCACTGTCTGTATATTTGTTATTTGGAGCTGTTGGGGGTCTCAGGTTTCCCATTTCCTCACTGCCATTTACAAGCCTTGATGAGAACTCTTGCCCAGGTAACATCATCAGGTGACAAACTACAGCTCTCAGAGGCGAGGCTGCCTGTGATCCATTCAGTTATGTGTGCTGGATTTTACAAGTGTCCGTTTCCTACAGGAATAGGTTTTGGAGACCGGACAAACACCTTCTGTGGCACCCCTGAATTCCTGGCTCCGGAAGTCCTGACGGACATCTCGTACACACGGGCAGTGGACTGGTGGGGACTGGGTGTGCTCATTTATGAGATGCTTGTTGGTGAGGTAAGGCCACCTTTCCTCAGGGGATCTCACTAACCAGGCTTGGGGACCAGACCACTTGAGAGAAAATTTGCTAAATGTAGCCAGTTATTTATTATTACTTCAGTTACATTTTTCTCAGTCATTGTACTTGCCAAACGTTAATTAATCCAACAGCTCCCTGCTACTCTCATCCCTATTTAATAGTGAGGAGTGGGTGGTATTTGTATTAAATAATAGAATGTCCCCATTGCAGTCACCATTCCCTGGAGATGATGAGGAGGAAGTCTTTGACAGCATTGTCAATGATGAAGTCCGGTATCCACGATTCCTTTCGGCTGAGGCACTTTCTATAATCCGGAAGGTAATGGGCTTGGTGGGTCTCTGGGAGCCTGAGGAATTGTGAGTGGATCCAGAGGGACTCAATTAGGACCGGATACATCTGTGTGTGTAATCTGGAGCTGCCTACACAGACTAAGGAAACATTTAACATTTACACATATTTTTCCTTTCCATCTCTTTACATAAATGCAGTCCTTCTGTGTAAGGATGACAAGCAGGCTGCTTACTGTTCCTGCTAAGTCTGACATGGAGAAGTGTTGATTCAAGGGCAGGAATGTCAGAGCCATTCAGTGGGAATGGCTGGATTCAGGGTTTGAATGTGACCCCATAGTCACAGGTGCACAATTAAGCTGAGATGCTTCACGCAGTTTATAGCAGGTATCTTATTGCTGTTGGCAAGTTGTTTACAAGGAACTAGGTCTGAGCTATTCCTGGCAGATGACCTTGGTGCAAAGTGAAAATGAGATGATACTGAGGGATCAGTCCATCCCCTTTCTTTTGTTTTTCTCTCTGGAACATTATTTCTGTCCATCCTTGTTCCTGCTGTTTAATTTTGAACCAATATTTCTGCAGCTGCTTCGGAAATGTCCAGAGCGTAGACTGGGAGCAGGGGAGAAAGATGCAGAAGAGATTAAAATCCAGCCCTTTTTTAAGGTAGGAACTCGCTTTATTTCCCTCCCCATCATTTTTTGTGTCTGAGCTGAGAGTGATTTTCTCTCTGTTGGTATTGAGGCATATTTCCATTAGTTATCAGTGAGATCTTAGTGATAGTTTCTGTTGCACTTAATTGCTCCACTCAGGAATATGTGTTTTAATTCACAGTTGAAATGACATCCCATGTGTTTTCTGGGATCTGTAAGCTGCCAGAGCTCCTTTGTTATTTCTGATTGGTCTGCTTCTATGTACAAATACAACCAACGTTAGAGACATCAACAAATACTCCTTTTTAAATGAAGCTGCAGCATCAAAGATGCTGTTTAGTGGTGACAGTGATTGCCAGTCAGTCTATATGATGGCAGCTGCATTTGTCAATCTGACTTGTTCTCTTCCTTCTCTTCCAGGGAATTGATTGGGATGCCTTGCTTGCCAGGAAACTGAAGCCCCCCTTTGTGCCCACATTGAGAGATCCAACAGACATCAGCAACTTTGATGAAGAGTTCACCTCCCAAAAGCCAATCCTCACTCCCCCTGAGAGGGTTGCTCTCCTCACCCACAAGGAGCAGACTGTCTTCAAGAACTTTGACTTTGTTTCCAGACACCTTTTAGATGTGTGACTCCTGTGCCATACAAAACATGAAGAGATTGTTACCACCTTGAGAGGACTTGGCATGGGCAGTGGAAAAGTCAACAGGATCCATAGAACAGGTAGTGCTGCCCTGCAGCAGTTAACGTGCTGTGGGTTTTCCAGCCTCATTTGTTGGAGGGATCCTGGATGTCAGTTATCTTTAAGGAATAATTAATGTTTGACTGGATATATCTTCTGCTGTCACTGAATATAGATGGAAATTTGGAATTTAAGTTGGACTCAAATCATCTCTTCAGCCCAGGTTACTCTTTGAAAAAAGCCTAAGTAAGTAGTGTGGCTTTTTAAAGTTGTAGAGTAGCAGGGGAATGGCCTCTTCTCACCTATTTTCTAGAGAAGAGATGCAGCATTTCCTCCTGGTAATGATTTTATGCCATTTCCCACTCATAAATATGTGTATGCCAGACAAGGAGTGGATTTTAATATAACCAAGACAATGATGTTTGATAATGATCCAAGTGATTTATCTTAAGGAAAATTACTCTCTTTCTACTTCTTTAAGGATGGCAAATATTAGCCATTGTTTTTAATGATATAAAACCCCACAGCTTTGCACGTTTTTCCTTTTTTCAAAATAAAGATATCTTTCCTTATATTAAATGTTCAGCTTTTCATCTCCTTTGTGTTTGCTGAATGTTTTAGATTAGGGCTAACCACAATCTGCTCAACAGGCAGGATTTTATTTTGCTCTGCAAATGTCAACAGTAATATTTTCTTTCTTCCTTCTCACTCAGGTTGTCTGTGTACATATTGCATGGTGTCATCAGCTGGCACATACCAATGACTGCAGTCAGGTTGTCTCTCCACACATTTTATCAGTGTGTATATCCTGCATCTTTTTTGGGGACAGCTAAGTAATGACTGTTAATACTGGAAAAACACCAAGTCAAAGATGATTTCATTTGCCTGGTAAAATACCTTGTTAATTATACTTAATAAGATAGATTTTCATAAATCCATAATGTTACCTTGTTGGGCAAAAAGGGAAGGTTGAAGCATCACACTGATGCAAACAGTGACAGAATCATTGCTCTTTCAGTTTTTCTTTACCAGATGTAGACAGGAGGGGGACTAAGGCAGCTGTGCTGATCTGGAGATAAGGATCTAGGGAATTGGCCTTGTTAAACCAGGACTGGTCCAAATGCTTCAGAATTCAACACGGTAAGAGCTGTGTTTGTGCAAAACACACTGAACCTGGATTTCCTATTTTCAGAGCCAAGTATAACTGCTGCTGAAAATTCCCTCCTACAAAGGTCCCTTCAACCTCCAGCTCAGACTGGCAGGACACTGGCCCCTTTGGAGCAGGATACTGCTGTTGTTTGAGTGGTAACAGTTGGCTGTTGGCCCCTGTGGTGTGTTTTGTGGCTTTTCTTAAGGTCAAGGCCACCGTGAAGTGGGAAATACCACAGTGGATTGTTAGCACAGGTGAAACCTAGAACTTGGGCTCAAAGAGAGAGGCATAAAGAATTAAAAAACGCATATTTAATATTTTATTTTATAATTTAGAGTAAAAAAAAAGGTAAATTACCATCCCAGTGCTTTTTAAAAGTAATTACCAAAGAGAGCAAAACTGTGCTTTGAGCTGTAGTACCTGCTGACAAATTTCTACTTGAGTGATACCTTAAGAACCAGAAAAGGTGATCCAGACTTCAGCAGGCACCAGTGACACCAACAAACTACAGAATCCATTCTGGATGGTATTACAGTGTGACAAAAACAATCCTTAGTGTTTTTATATCCCTCTCATAAGAGCTTCTACCCTGAACAAAGCAGACTGGGAACAGATCACAAACTCTGGACTTGGTCAAAAAAGGAATCTTCTGGTTTTGAACTGCTTTTGGACTGTCATGCTCTGTTAGTGACTACGCTGCCCTTTCATGAGTGTTCATTAACTTTACACCCTGAGTGCATCCTCCTGGCTTGCCAGATGTGCTCCTGAGCTGGTGTCAGTTCCTGAGCCAAGGCAATTAAGGCACAAAATAATTTTAACTAACATTTTGTTGTGGTGTTTTTTGGTGCTTTGTTTGGTTTTTTTTTAACAGAAAAGGGTCAGGACTAAACTTGACACCACAGCCTTTTCTGTTTTTAAAGCTGAAGTTGGCCATCCCAAACTTCTTTTTAATATCCCATGGAAAATTGAAGTATGACCTTTTATTTCAATGGAAAACAAGTACACTTGCTGCTGTCCTGGAAGCTGTCAGCACTCCTTGTCTCATCCACCAGGACCTGGCAGCTTTCCTCTTGCACTGAAATTGTATTCTTTTATTAAAATCTCGTTAGTATGTTGAGGTAGTAGTAGTTTTACCAATAACTCAGTAGCCAAGCATTACTTTTCTGTCCAGAGAAAAGTGGATGGTATCATTCTTTGCTGACTTGATTCAAAATAGCCTGTGAATTGTTAACAGCAGCATTAACTTAAAAAGCTGTGAGGAAGCTGCTCAGGGCATCACAAAGTACAGGCTAATTATCTCATAAGCTGAATTGGATGTCTTACAGCTGTTTCTCATGCACATTAACAGTGTTAAGCCTCAAAGCTTTGTGGAAAGCATTAACTTGAGGCATGTGGATGAAATGAAATTTGCTTTTGACTGTCTAAATATTTACTCAAGTATTTCTGTTCCATGCCCAATACTACTGACAAAAGGCACTGCAGTTCTCACAGTCAGAACTAGGCTGAAGAAAGGCCACAGGAATTATATTGATCCTGGCTGGTTTTGTCTGTAATTGCTGCTTTTTCCTAGCAGCAAAAGGAGAGGGAGACCTCAGGGAAGAGAATTCTTCAGGAGATGTGGATGCAGTTAAGAAAAGGATATAAATTTAGATACCTTTGCTCAGACCAGAAATCAGCTCTGCTGGCCTTGGCCTTCCCAGAACCAGTGTCTCATCTTTAACAGTGTTATTTGTATATAAAAAATAACCCTGGCTATCCCTGAAATGTACTTTGCAGGGTGAGCAGGTTGTGGAGCAGGTTGCACAGTCCATGATGTGTTAAAGTTCAGTGCAAGGAAGCAGCAGCAATTGCATGAGCAAAGCTCTGCCCAGCAACCTGCAGGTGTGTTGGTACTCCTGGGACTAGACAGGCTCACTGTTCCTGTGAAAATAGATTTGCTCCCATGCAGTGAGGTGGCGTGAGCAGAAGAATCTCCAGAGGTTGAGGATGATCCCCTGGTCAAAGGGATTCTCCAGCTCGGAGTGGCGCAGGTAGGAGATGCGGTGGTGGGACATGAACTCCCAGGTTGTGGTGTTGCACGAGATGAGGTACAGGTGGGAAACAAGCAGCAGCAGGACCACAGTGGTGAATATGACTATCAGGAGGAAGGACAGCAGGAGGAAAATGTTGTACTGCAGCCATTCCCAGGACTGTTGAAAGTAGAGGCCTGACCTTTCAATTCAAAGAGAAATAAATCTGCAGTTAAAGGAGCAGAATATGTTCCATAAACCTGATGGCACATTTAAGTTTGATTCATAACTAGTGAGCTGCTGATAATCCTTTACTACACAGAGTTAATATACTGTTAAGTCCTGAGAGACTGCACCTGTAGGGATTGGAATCTAAGAAGTTCAGAACTGCTGGTTCCCCTGACAGCTGAGAGACAATTGCCTTGAGTTAACTCCTCTCCTGAACAGCTGGAACCCTGATGGAGTTTCCAGCACTTGGACTTGTAAACAAAGATCAGTAACTGAAGCAAAATGAACAATGAAACCTAAATTATCAGATTCTGCTCAAGATTAGGGGGCTCCAGGATGCAAAAGACGGTGAAGATCCAAAGCCAATCCAATGTTCTACACCAACCCTTCTGTGGGCCTTGAGGAGCACCACAACTTTCAGCCATCTCAAGAGGTCCAAACGCCACCTCCTGCCCTTACCAAGCAACGTGGCCTCCCCACAGCAGTACCACAAGCTGCACACTCAGGTAGGCTATGAAGAGGGGGTGGTTCCTTTCTCCCACACAGTTCTCAATCCAGGGGCAGTGGTGGTCGTAGCGCCGCACGCAGTGCTGGCACAGCTGGCAGTGCCTGGCTCTCATGGGCTGCTGCAAAACAGAGAAAATCAATCAGAAAAAGAAAAAAAACCCTGCTGGCAGTAGTCACTGCAGTAGTGCTGTCCCACTCCCTGCTTGGTAAAACAGAACATCATGCAAAACTCTTCCTCCGCAACAGTCCTGTCCCTAAAGCACTCCAGGGTGAGACAACAGCACATCAGCATTGCTAAGAACAGCTCAAGGGGGTTGTGATTCCCCTGGTACAGACCCAAATGGGCGGGATTCAAACTAAGTGACTCTCACATGTTATTTCTATCTATGCATCTTCATTATCTACATATTTATAGGAAGTCCAGTGTGCCATGGAGGGAGACAGAGCCAATGAGTACATTCAGGAAAGCATGAGCAGATTATTGAGGTGAGAAACTAGGACCACTGCTGTTGAATAGAGTAGGCAGGGATGGGATGTTTTTAAGGGATGCACAGAGGAGGGAAGTGTCTGCTTCTGTGAGTACAAGACACTTGCACAGGAAAGCAGCTCAAATACCAGGAACAGAAAAGATGAAAGACCTGGCTGAGAAAAGTAGTGATTCCTAAGATTTGTGCCCTGAAGCGTAGAAATGCTTTGCCAGCTTTTCCTCCTGCAATAAGCTCACTTCTCCTGGTAGATATTCTTTAGGAACTTATGGAAGCTGGGATAATGCTTAACTTTATTAAACCGATAAGGATCACTCTGAAAACAGGCCTCTCTAGGCTTTAGGCAAACTGTTTTAAGAGCTAATTAAATTGCTCTAATTTCTCCTTCATGCTGTCTTTTACCATCCAGGCCAATGTTCTGTTGTTTTAAGGCCTCCAAACAAGCTCTCAATGATGATCAGTTCACACAGGGCACGTTCAACTGCCCTTCTGACTATCAAGGTATGTTCTAAGTAACCTTCTTGACACTGCTTGACATGGAGTAAGAATGTAAAATACAATTTTTCCATGGCAAAAGAAGATCCTTGTTTCCACAAGCCAGCAGGGACTTCCAGCCTTGGAAAACTGGCCTTTGTGCCAGTGTCCATCACTACTACATGTGTAGCTACACAATCTGCCCAGCCTCCTCTGAGCAGCACTGATGGAGCAGAAAAACACCAACAACAGCAGCTGAACTTTCAGATCACTCATCCCATCCTGTTCCAGCATGTTCTGGATGCCCACCTTCACCAGGCAGTAACCACAGCGCCGCAGCTTCACGTCACCCGTACCCTGGGGGATCACCAGGCCTTGTCCTTCAGCCTCCCCTGCCTGCAAAAAAGAGACAGAGGAAGGTTTGTGTGGTGCTGTCTTGGCATGACTGAGCTGCCTTACTGCATCTTTTTACTTAGCAGTTACACAGCACCAGTTATCTCTATCATTAGGAAAGTTAAACAAAATAATTCCTTGGAATTCCTAGAGATGCTGCAGTTGTGGTATAGCGAGAGAGAATGGGCTCCTGTAACCACACAAAGAATGTTTGCACAGAGGCAGAAATAACTGTGGACAAGACACACTTTGGGACAAAAACAAGATTTCATTTCCAAACACAATAATGATGCCTTTTCAGTATAAGCAGTGCTACTTATTCATCCACAGCCACACTCACATTAATGATGGAGGACCAAGACTGATCATGCTTTTGTCCTGCACAGGCTGGAGGGCAGTGAACCTCAGGCAGACTATCAGTTACTGGAACTTTGCATCTCCATTTATCTCACTGTAACTTGTTTGTGTGTGTCCTCTGAGAGAGCAACAAATCCATAAACAGCTCAATAAACAGGGCTGCAGAGAGCACTGTCTGCCAAGCCTGCCCTTCAATTTAGGTTTTTGTGCACTTGTACCACTTAAGCAGCAGTTAGAATAAAATAGGTCATGTACACATTCTATAGGGCACTGCAGCCTCTGCTGGAAGAGAGGACTTGGTCTCAAATGGCACAGTCACTTACAAGGTCAGCGTGGTGTGAAAGGCACATTTAAGTCTGAACCCTATTGCTGTTGTTACAGAATACGAATGTGAGGCAGTCTGGTCTCATCTCCGATGGTCTGTGTGTGTTTCCTTCATGCCAGCACAACAGAAACTATTTCACGCTGTTCTTATCTTGCAGAGCGAAAAAAGAAGAGAAGCCTATGGACTTTATAGCCTCACCACTTCGTTCATTTATGAAGGGATTTACCTTTGCTTCCTCTTCAGGCTTAACAAAACCCGGATCCATGAGAGACACTTTTAAGTACAGCAGGACGGAGCACAGAACCAGCAGGACGAAGATGAGCGGCTGCAGCAGCTCCCCGCGCTCCTCCTGCTCGCGCAGATCTGAAAGGTACCCAAAAAAGAGAGAGAGCAGCAGCTCCCTGTGAAGAGTCCGGGATGTTTCCCTCTGGCCTTAGCAAAGGGATCCCACACCTACGGGGAGAAACGGGGCGGGGTGAGCGGGGAGAGGCTGAGAAGGGGCTCCGCACACCCTCCCCTGCCCTGGGGGCACCCCCGGGCCGTGCCGGGGCGCAGGGCCCGCACAGCCCCGCACCGATCCCCGTCCCCCGGTGCCCCCGGGGCGGAGCGGCCCCGGCCCGGCCCCGCCTCACCCGTGCGGTGCAGGAGGAGCCCGAGCGTCAGGGCCGCGCTGAGGGCCGTGTGTGCCACCCGCACCCAACGCCCGCCGGGCCCCATGGAGGCACCGCGGCGGCCCCGGGGCTCCGCCGGCCCGGAAGGGACCGGGCGGGGCCGGAGGGGACACGGGCGGGGCCGGAGGGGACACGGGCGGGGCCGGCCGGGGCACGGGCAGCGCCCCGAGGCGGGGCCAGGGCGGCCTGTGCCGGCCCGGCGGGCGGAGGCTCCGCGGGGACACGGGACTCACTTCCCTCCTGCTCGCGGGTTCCGCTGCCCTCAGGCTCCGCTGCCCCGTGGAACCGGGCTCTCCTTCCTCCCCACCACTCCCGGTTTTTCTCGCTGCAGCCCGCGGGCCTGTCCTCCCACACACACCGCCCTTGTCGTGCCCTGCGAGCCGGCCCAGCGCCCCGGGGCCTTTCCCCGAGGAAAGTGTTGGACTGGATGATCTCCAGAGGTCCCTTCCAACTCGGATTCAGTGTTTTCCCTGAGCCCCTTCCCGCCCCGAGCCCGGGCTCTCGCTCGCGCTGCCGGGCTGTGCCAGCGGGTGTGGGGAGCGCAGGACTGAGCACAGTGCTCGGCACCTCCCATACACCAGGGCAGACACTGCTGGGTGTGCAGAGTGATGGAAGGGTCTGGGAGCCATGGAAGGGTCTGGCAGAGATGACTTCGCAGAGCAAAGCAGGTGTGTTTAGAGAATGGCCCTTCTCAGTTGAAACAGGCATCTAAAAGCAGTTGAATTGCACCCCAGATGTCTCTTGCTAACAATAAAGAAGCTAAGGTGACTATAGCTTAGAGGTACCTATTTACACTTGGAGTGTCTGCCAGTTTAAGGGAGATGAATCTCATCACAGGGCTGTAATAGTTCCAAAATCAGTGTTTTCTCTTTATGTTATTTTCAGTTTTAACACAACTAAACCTTGCTGCTTTTGTTACCTTCCTTCTCAGTGAAAATTTGGAAAGAAAAATCCTTTCTAAATTTACCCTCCAGCACCTTAAAAGTAGCTGATTCCTCGATATTGTTTGCCCATAAATTCATTATTTTGGTCTCTATAAGTCAGTGGCCACCTGCTGATTCCAGGAAAGCACCTGGCTGTGTGGGTCACTTCAATGGTTTACCTGACACAGCTGGGTTGAAAGGTTAATAAAAATTGTAGACAAAATTTTCAATAATCATTCAAACCTTTTTGCTTTAATTTTTTTTTTATTCTAGGTAAATGCAAAACCTACAGCTATCCTCCCTCAGACACCTCACAGACTGTACTGGTGCTTGAAAAAAAGGTGGGTAGTGTCTTTCCTTCCTTGTAGAGAGGTGTAAATTTTAAAGCTTAATAAAGGCAATTAGAGTAGTAACAACATTATCCACTTGAAAGTAGAAACATTTTGATGTTCTAGAATAATCTGTCCTAAGGAGTGTATTCTCACTCTCTTTGTGATTAAAATAATTTGGTGCATGTTACTCTTTTTATCTTCTCCTTCAGCTGTGAAACCTGTCTAGCAGAGATCAGAGCTCATCTCTGTCTCAAGGGTTTCAGCCTCAGTGAGTGGTTGAAATTGGGCTCAGTTCCAGAAAATCTCTAATAGCAAGTTTCTGAGTGGAGAATCTAGGTTCTTATGGCATTCCAGCTAGGAATTCCATGCTGCTCTGTCCTCTTACAACAGGGCACATTTTCAGAGACAGTTCAGTTTCACATGATTCCTCCTCCCACTCCATTCACTCTGAGTCTGATCCTTTAGAGACTCCACAATGACCACTGAATTAACCGGCAGTTGAGCCCTTGCAGGAGCAGGGTCTTAAGAAGAAAGTCACGCTGGCCTTAAAGCAGATTGACTGGCTTAAGCCAGAGGCTTTTCTTAAGTGCTCAGCTTCTGCCCACTTACAAAGCCTGGGCTGTGGAGTGTGAGCTGCAGATCTGTTACGGAGTTCAGAGCAATCTGTACACTCAAATATTGTCCTGATTTTTTTATTCTCCTCTCACACGATCTCCTAACAATAGTCTCTTCCTCCACATCTCTTTTCTGTTGACAAACAGTATTGTATCCCTTGGAGTGATGAAAGGCAAAGCCACTGAACTGCACCATCAACACATGGCAGTTCCTTTCATTTGTAATGAAATATTTGACAGCAAATGGCCCAGTAATGTACCTAAACAAACCACATCCACAGACCAAAGGAAGAAGACACTGTTGAGCACTAGGTTTAATACACAGCGGGTATCCAATGGATACAACAGAAAAGTTAATTCATTCAGAATTGTAAGGAAGCAGCAGTTGTGCATTTTGATTTTTTTGCTGGGTTTCACCACGTACAAACATTTGAACCAGGCCCCCACATCAGGCAGGTCCATGGACAGAGTAAAAGCAGACACTTGTTATAACGGAGGGTATTTTCTTTCAGCAAAACAAGGAAATACATATTTGGTTAGCTTAAAAACTTCTTTAAAAACAAGAAAAGAGTTACAGAGAGAATCGGTGACAAGTATATGAAATCAAACCAAAGTCTACTAAAGCAGAAGTGTTTCAGTTCAGCAGGAAATCTCCCTCAACCCTTATTTAAGTGCTGTCTTCTCCAGCCCCCATGTTCCTTTTCATTCATCCCTGACGACTGTTGCCCTCTGTGCTTCATGCACATGGTTGTCGTGGAGACCAGCTGTTTCCCTACTTTTAATTCTCTTTTTCTAGCACAAGCTGCCCTCTGACACCTGAGCTGTGGCAGGCTCCTCCCCAACCAGTCTCAAGGAAATGTTTTTTCTATGGATAGTGCCTGACTGCAGTGCCCCTGGAGCTCTTGTCCTACTGGTAATTAATTGCCTTCTTCAGGTGATGAGAGGAACTCAGCTCACAGCTCCAAGACTTTTCTTCCCACTCATCCTTTGCAGAGACCAGAGTGACAGCAGCAGCAGCAGCCCAGCCAAGGTGACAAGCTGGGTAGGATTCAGTGCTGAAGAGAAACATTTCAGTAGGAAGGTGCAGGGAAACAGCAGCCATGGTGCAGATGGATTATCTGCAGTGCTCTGATTGCCACAAATATCAGTGCTAAACTTGCCTGGCTTGGTCTAGATGAGAAAGTCTGGTGCTGCTGGGTGTTAGGCATCATACAAGGAGATGCCAGTCCTTATAAGCAATTCCTCCCACAGATCTTGTAAAATGGAAGCACTTGTGGGAAGTTGCCCAGCAATTTGGAAGTTGCCCAGCACTGTCTGCTGAGCCAAGGGCCACTGAAGGACAGGGCAGCCTCCAGCCAGGGAGGAAACTACACAGTCCAGGCAGAGGGATCCTTTGTTGGCACAGTCTCTGCAGGGAGCTACTGAGTTGTGTTCGTGCTCTGCTTGCCAAGCTTTGCAATATTCAAGGAAATATAGTAGTGAAATCATGAAGAGTCTGGGTGGGCCAACAGCTACTGAGCACAAGGAGCACCTCTGCCACATGTTTACTCATTATGAACTTCTCTCCAGCTGGATTTTCACTTGACAGTTCTGGTGACAACCCTGTTCTGGTTTTCTGAGCAAGGTTGGTGACTGGCTCTATAATTCTGTGTGGAGTTAAAGTCTCCTGGTTCATTCCTTTGATCCAGCAAGGCTGGAAGGTCTGAGGCTTCCCTGGAACAGGCAAGCATTTCAGGGTATCTGACTTCCCCTTTTACATTAGACCTTCATTAAAAAATCAGCCACTTTGCCCTCCCCTCCTTGCAGAACACTGATATGACATCTGCAGGCAGCTCTCCTGTTCTGTCCTCAGCTCTGGATCTATGGCAGCAATTAACTCTGTCTCCAAAAAGTGCTTTCAGGTCATGCCTCTTGTTTCAGTGAGGGAAACTGTGGTACAAACTCATTTCAGACTTCCAATTACAGAATTCCTGGATTGTGCTCAGAATTCCTGGTGTTCAGAGGATACCTTTCTCTCTTTTGCTCCTTACTGAAGGGGAAATGTTATTTTTCAGCTCACAAATTCTTGGCTTGAAGACATGGAAGCTTGTAGGCAAAGCTCATGTGACTAACAGGGATGGTACTTCTTTTAACGTGCTGTCTCAGGAATTTACCTTGCTGTGGCCTGACTCGAAGTCTGATGTGTAGCTTGCTGTAATTGCCAGTTGTAGTTCCCCCTTCCCCTGGGATCAGTGACAGATTTCAGCTCAGATTGAGCTTTTCTGGCAGCCTGGCCTGACTCCATTAATCTCCTTGTTACTGGGAATTTGAAATCTTTTTATCCTGGTTCAGGTTCAGGTACAGCTTGCTGAGGGGCTGTGAGCAGTGAGGACAGAGGTTTACAGTAGGAAACAAAGCTTTGGTGCAGCTTGGAGCTTGTTAGTTTGGGATGCAGCAGGTGAGACCCCAGCAACAGCTGAACTTGGGGGGGCACTGGTTTGAAAAACCCAAACCTTTTGGGTCTTGAGGCAGATGAAACCAAGTCACTGGTTGTTCATTAGCCTTGATGTAGTTGTGCCAAAATCTCAGAGAAAAGCCTGACTGCACAGATTGCAATGCAAGGCTGAGCTCTGCTCCAGCTGAGATGGGAGTTCCACTGTCTCCCCAGGGTGGCAGCTGCATTCTGGGGACAAGGGTTTCTGATACCTCTCCCCCTGTGACGTGTCCCCTTCTGCTCCACTCCCTCCTTGCCAACAGTCAGAATCCTCAGTGCTTTTTGTCAGGTGATTCAAGATTTTAGTGGCAGGAGCTTTCACTACATGGGCATTGGGAAGGAAGCAAAGCTGGTGGGCGGCACTGTCAAGTGAAACAACTTCAGGACAGCAGCACTAAATGGAATTAAAGAGCAAAACCTGACTCCCCTAACACACCAAGGCTGCCTGGCAGTATTTGCAGCCCCTCTTAGTTTTGCATCTAGAAGGAAGATCAGCAAATGTTACACAGAAAACAGATCTTGAAATAAGCTTCCCCATCTCAAAGCTTTAGAGACACAAATTCTTGGGGAACAGAAATAAGAGAGAGAAAAATACATTTTAAACGACTGCAAAAAAGTATAATTTGTCAAGTTTTGCAAATCTTACGAAAACAATTCAAAAGTGACACAAAAATATATATAAGTTTGAAAAATCTTAAAGAAAAAAAGTACAGATCTCAC